AATCGAAAATGAGTCAGGAAACCATGAGCATGAGCATGAGCCAAGAGGAGTCGTGGCAGAGTCAGCTGGTGAGTCCTGAGCAACGACTCTCCGCGCTCTTGAAGTCCAGTCGACTCGCTGACCTCACCATTAACTTCCCTGGCCACGAGAGGTGTCTGCAGGTTAGTCTTTGTTTGTTTTTATGTTGTTGTTGGGTTGTCGGAAAGAGGGAATATTTGAGGATGATTTTTGTTAGTTTGTTTTATATAGTTTTTTATAATTTTGTTAGTTTGTTTTATATATAGGTTGGGAGTTTTTTATTTACATTTTCATAGCTTGGTATATGTTTGGATACTATTTTATCAATATTTTGTTCATTTTTCTGGCCTATAGCTTATTTTATCAAGGTGAATTTGAAGAAATGAAAAGCGTTGAATAAGGTGTCATTTTTTGATATGTAAAAAAATCCAGCTTTATAGTCGTTATACGTTATGGATTTGAATAATGACAATTCCATGATAAATCTTTTTTTTTTTTTTTGTATATAAAGAGGAATGAGAAAAACAGTATTTGACCAAAATGCAAGCAAACAATAGGCTGTAACCGTTACCTTTATCCGAGAATTAATTTCTCTAAATATCTCCACCATTCTAATTATCCATAGCCATGTCTCTATCTATGTGTCTGTATATTCGCATTTCTACCTCTATCTATATTAATCTGTCTCTGTACTTCTCTTAGCCCCCCCTCCCCCCAGGCAATGACTCGGCGTGGTCATGACCCCCCCCCCCCCCGTCTTCGAGGCCATGCTCTACACGAAGATATTCTTTTATCTTATTCAGTTCTTATCTTTCTTGTTCTGTCATATATCTTATTTTTTTCTTATTTTAGTGTCATTCTTATCTTATATATCTTATTACCTTATCATCATATGTCTTATCTTTCTTATGTTATCATGTCTTTATCTCTCTTATCTTATTATCATGTCATCTTTCTTATATCATATGTCTTATCACTCTTCTCTTATCATTTGTTATTTCTCTTATCCTTATGTCATCTCTCTATCTTATGTTTATCTTTCTTATGTTATCATCATTTTGTCCTATCTTCCTCAAGTTATCATATGTCTATTACTCATCTAATTTCCCCCCCTCCCCCCTCCCACCCCAGGCCCACCGCCTCGTGCTGGCCATGACCTCCCCCGTCTTCGAGGCCATGCTGTACGGGCCCCTGGCGGAGGGCGAGGAGCTCCACCTCCACGAAGACCCGCCCGAGGCCTTCGAGTGGCTGCTGGAGTACATGTACCGAGGGCACATCCAGATGCCCGAGGTCCGTCTGGCGGTGCAGGTGTACCAGCTGGCGAGCAAGTACCAGGTGGAGGCCCTTATGGTGCTGTGTTCGAAGGTCGGGATTTGGTTGCTTGTTCGGTGTTTTGACTTCGTTGATATTTTATATTTTTCTATAGTGGATTATTGAAAAAGAACAATGATATAGACTAAATAGGTATATTGACCCTATTGTTTATGTTTTTTTCTGCATTTTTTTCCAATTGATAGAGTTGCAATAAACTTTCTGGATGTCTCCGTTTGTTTTTTGTTTCTGTGGTACTTTTAAAGATAAATTTCTTATGAATGTAATTCAATAAGCTTCTGTCTTTAGTGTGTAAATATTAATTTATATATATTTTTCTCAAAATTTGATTTCCATACTCCCATAGCCTCTGAAATGCCTAGTGATTTTCATTCTTTCCATTCACATATTCTTTCCATATCCGTCTGTAAGCCATTGCAAAGTAACTAAAGAGGCTTTTGACTTCCAGTGTTCCATAGCCTCTGATAATCCTAAAAAGAGGTATTAATTCTTTTTTTTTCTTACAGCACCTTCAGGAGACCTTGAGGCCGGAGAACTTGGCAGAAATGTACGATACGGCGGTGTTGCTGGAGGACGAGCACCTCCTTCAACGCTGCTATGAGGTAAATGCTGATGCGTGATCCTTCACTACTATGCGAACACACACACACACACACATGCGCGCGCATCTCTCTCTCTCTCTCTCTCTCTCTCTCTCTCTCTCTCTCTCTCTCTTCTCTCTCTCTCTCTCTTCTCTCTCTCTCTCTCTCTCTCTCTCTCTCTCTCACACACACACACACACACACACGCACATACACACACTAAAAGTGTATATTTTTATAACGCAGCAAATAGACCAGTCCCTGAACTATCTTTAAAGTACAAATATTCATATCACATTGTTATCAAGAAGCTTATCATTATTTTACTGTTGTTTCTTTAGCTTGGTTTATGCGTAAAGGCACATTAACATTAATCTTCCTATTGTTTTCATGTTATCACTAGTTTAAATAGCAGTAGTGGTAGTTGTAGTAATAGCAGAAGTAACAATAGTGTTAGTAATGGTAATGGTAATAGTAGTAGCCATAGCAGTAGTAGTAGTAGTAATAGAGATAGCAGTAGAAATAGGAATAGTGATAGCAGTGGTAATGAGAGTAGTAGTGATTGCAGGAATAATAGTAGTATTAGTAACAGCAGCAATCGCAGTAGTAACAGAAGCAGTAGTAGTAATAGTAGTAGTAGCAGCGGCAATAACAGTAATAATAGTAATCTCATTAGTATTAATCGTAACAAGAGCAATATAATTAGTCTTCCTACTAACATTACTACTTCCACCCCCTCCTAACATCCCGGCCCTCACCCCCCCCCTCAGGTAGTGGACCTGTACCCGACCGCCGTGCTCTCCTCCCCCAGCTTCGGTCTCCTGAGTCGAGGGGCGCTCCGGCACCTCCTTCAGCGCCCCCTTCATATCCCTACTGAGGTGATCCTCCTAAAGGCTCTTCTGGCATGGTAAGAGGTGCATAGAGGGCTTGCTTATTTCATGATTGTGTTTTTTTAGTCTTTTTGTGTCTAAATTTTCATTGTTGTCATTCTTGTTATTATCATTATATTTGTTGTTTTGCATACTAGCTGCTATTATTATTATCATTATTATTGTTATTATTATCATTATTATTATTGCTATTATTATTATTATTATTGTTATTACTATTATTATGATCATTATTTTGCTTTCCACTTTTTTTCTTTTATTGTCTGGTGAAT